GATCTACTTGAAGATAATTTAAAAGTGTAGATAATATCTTTATTGAAATTACAAGGTTAGTGTAAGGAATTAAAAAATAAATAATAATAATAGTTGTTTTGATATCATAATATTACTCACCTGAAATTCGAACGTTCGTTCTTGACCACAATGTGAACATGAAGGTATGTCTTCAGGCATCGGTTTACCAATGTCACTTACCCATAGCGGAGTCGCGTTTTTTTCACATTCATAATCTAGTCGTGCATACCTGAATTTATATCAAATTAGCATTTAATTCGATTAAGCAAAAAATATAAAGATGCGCTCGAATTACCTTAATACCTGATCAGGAAAAGGTTCAATTTTTTTTTGAAATTTTAGAAAGGCTTTATCTACATTGACTTGAGTATTTTCATAAATTTCATCGCCAACGGGAACAAGAGCCCTAGAATTTCCACTATCTAAATCTATCATAAATCAATTATAAATCAAACACGTCTAATAATTAAAATACTGGTACCCATATTTACTTTCGGCATAAAAGAAGTTCATATAATTAATTATGCTCACTTGATAAACTATCATCAATTTCACCATTTTCACCATCTTTGAACAAATTCCCTTCAGGTTCTGTAACAACTTCAAATTCCGGAAACAAAACCAATTTGCTACATAGATTATCATCATCTAATGAAGATGTAGTTGTATTACAATGGATTTTATGTTTCCCGGACGTCCAATGGTCAATTTGATGTTCTTTTGAACAATAATATGTTTTATTACATTTCCCGCATTTTTTGGAACCGTGAAGACCACACACTACACAATAATCGACTAAAACATGTATTTTAGGTTATGATCTTTATGGCAACATATTTAATATGTTACATAGATAATGTAGAGAGAGATATGAACCAGTAGTAAATTTTTCCGATGGACGATTAGCATGTTCATTTGAGTCGTCATCATTAGACTCTTCGTTTGGTGGTGGCCAATAAGGATTATATTTTGGTAATTGACTTCGAAATACTTTTAAACTTTATAAAGCAGATA